CATGATGGCCTTGTTGTTGATTGGGTGGTAATGAGTTGCGGGGCGGATGCTATATTTTTCTCCCCCCCCCTCCCCACCCCCTTCATTTGGTGCTTTTTTTTTTTAAATCTTGGATGTTGGTCATGCTTGGAATTAGGATACATTAATTAAACATAAGAATGGTTTTGATTTTAAAATTGCTATTAACATGAATGCATTAAACAACTTGCAAAGAGTAGCTGACCTTGTTTTGATATTCTTGTTTCATTTCACTCAAAAAATAACGTTAATTATGTCCAATGTCGTATCATGTAACATGAAAAACGAAGGTACATTTCATTTAAATTACATTCATCAAGTGTCTCCCACATCAAATATATTTTCTCACCTGCTGCAAGTTCAGTGAACTGTGTTACGGTTTGGTTTACCGAAACACGATTAATAAGCTGTCCTTTAAATGACGTGCTCATACAATTACGAAACAAATGAATAGTACTTGCATTAGTATCAGACCGATTTTCTATTAAAACGCTTATTAAGTACAAGCCGCTCAGAGGAGCAATGAATATACCAGTCAATTGATCAAAATTATCTCCATGGTTATAACTAACTTGATCAAAATGTGTTACAAAGCATGTAGTCGTTTTGTTTGATCGTTTTTTCCAGGCAAAGAATCCGACCTTTGGTAGAATGCATTTAAGTTCTGTACCGAAAAGAAGGACCAAAAAATAATATTAAAACTTAAATTTTGTAAATTTATGAAACGGTATCACTAGAATGTGAGCATCAAGCCAGCATATAGTTCACATTAAGACATTATGTGTTACCAATTTTAAATTATATACTTCAATTTTCTACTGATATATTATATATGAGAAATGCATGATTCCGTGAAAGTTAGGGTACTGAATTTTTTTTCCCAAATGAAGGAATTGATGATGTCATTTAAATCACTTTTAAAGTATCACAAAAAAAAAACAAAAAAACAAACAAATAAAAATAATAATTTATTTAGAATTATCAGGGTTTTTTTTGCGAAATCTCGATTTTTCCTAAGTTCCGTATTTGATAATGTGTTCACTAGAAGCTTTGGTCAGGGATTTAGGAGAATGCCCTTAAAATACTAAATTACTAATTAAGATAAAAGTACTAAACTATCATTTCTAAAAAATTACCTACATAATTAATTAGGTTTAAGGAAAGTATAATCATTATTACCACCCCTCGCACACACACACACACACGTTCTGCCACATGCAAAAAGTTATAACATAAATTCACCCATATTTAAATCTCCAAATTTAAGCGATAATAGTTTATAGTTACACATCAAGTGTTTCAGCTACCTGGCTTTATCCGGACACTTTCCGTGTCGATGCTAAATAAAGGCAAATAAAAAGTAATCACGTCACTCCAATACTCCACCCACTCCAAGCGCTTCCTCTACAGGCACACATTGATTACAAGCTGTCTGTTCTCTGCCACAACGGTTTTCTTTAATTCCTGGCCTTTCTATCTAAACGAACTTCTTTCTGTCGATTCACCCCTTCGAGAGCTTCCATCCTCCGCAAGCACATGCATTCGTTCTGTTTCTAAGACGCACTAACTAAGTAACTTAAGAAAATCAGCGAACACCGAGCCGAGGCTCATATGGTCCTCCCCAACGAACCACCCCGCCAGCCAAACCGGCCGTCAACCACTCACCCAGTGGTCTTTATTCCGATCGGCCGCGAAGCGGCACGCCAGGGACATTCCGCCCCTAAGACCGCCACGCCCGACCTCCACTCGATTGGCCGCTGAGCGTGGCAGCCCCAGAGAAGAAACACCTGGCCAGCCGGGCTTCTGCTTACGCAGGAACCGGGCCGGACNTAGGGTTTGTATGGTTATTCTAAGGCGCGACTAATTCACACCGTAGATGGGAGAGAGAGGTTGCCTGGGAGCAGTACCCTCAAGACTGCATATATAGAATCATCGGTGAAAGGTTGCCACACACCTTCACCTCATATCCATACGGCAACTGTAATCATGTCCCAACCTGTTTCTGCATTTAGTAAAATAATTCGACTGCACTTGGTGGGAAGCCATGCAATCGTGCTCGCCTTAACGCAGATTCCGTGCGTTACCCCTACCTTGCGGCACAGGTCCCCTACACGGTGGTAATGTCGCTAGGGTAATGTTCCAGGGGTTGTGGCCGAACGCCTCTTGGTCGACATGCTATTAAAAACATGCCGGCTAGAGCCCTAGCTCTCTAAGACGCACTAAAACACTCAGTAAAAGATTTTTCTCTTTCTGCAACCCCAAACGATGGAATTCTCTCCCATTATACATTCCCAATATACCGACCATCCAAGCCTCCAAAACTGCCATCAAAACACATCTCTTCAAACTCTAGTATACCGACTAACTCCCATCAAGACTGGTGACTTGAAATGTAATTAGTTCTGGAGTTAGTGCATTGAATGTATTTACAAAGCAGTTTTTTAATTAAATACATTTATGTAACTTATTAGGGCCATGATTATGTTCGCTAATAATTTTATGTAAGCGTGGTGAGTCAAGTCATAGGCTGGGGCACCTCTGTATATAAGACCACTTTAATAATAATAGTATAAGATTATTTCAATTGGATCAGGTCCTTGTACACGAGTTTTTCCCATTCGTCACTGTAGTGGTCCATCACTAACGTTTATTTGCAAGGTGAAAGGATTTGTTGGATGCATTTATACCTAATTTACGGTAACTAATATATTTCACATTCATAGTAACATACGATTCACATTTGCAACAAGAAAAAAAGAAGAAAAAGGAGAAGAAAATTTAACTTAACTTAAAGTGGATGATTACAAGTTTTGCTACATAAAATTTGTTGGTTGCAAAAAAAAAAAAAAACAAACCCGGGATCATTCTTTGTTCCCAATAAACAAATAAAAATAAAGAATGCGAATGGTTGCAAAAAAAAAAAAACAAACCCGGGATCATTCTTTGTTCCCAATAAACAAATAAAAATAAAGAATGCGAAATAAACATTTAAAAAATAAAAAAAAAATAGTGAAATAAAGATTTTAATGAAGTTAATAGAAATAATTTTTTTGTAAACGCGTCCCACAAAGTATTTAAGGATGATTAAAGTCTCACTGGCTAAATGTTAAATACAAGATAGAGCCCGCCAAACATTGGCGACAGCAATGCGTGAACTTCCCATGTGGTAAAGTGACTTGACAAAACATGAACTCAAGCAACGCACATTTTAGAAACCCAAAATTTGCTACACCCCTTCCCCCATGATACTTCACTAAACACATTTTATTTCACGCCCATGAACTATATTAATATTCTCATGCCCCAACCACTTTTAAACCGAATATTTTTTACACAATACTTAAATTGAGACGATTTCATTTCCGAAAAGAAAATATTACGCACCAAACGCAATTGCGTTAATTAAAAAATGTATATATATATACCATTTAGCGTAGTTATCGGGAATTATATTTTGCGCGCTAGTGAACTCATTATTGAAACACACTTTGACGTATCTATATATAATTATAGCCTTCGTGGTGGAGGTGGTGTTTGACCTTTCCTGGCGAATTTTATATAGTTAGATAACAAAAATGTATACATGATCGTTTGACAATCAATTTCCTTCACCGGCTCCAATTTTATCCACTTTGCTTTGTTTTTTTTTTTTTGCTTTCTTTTTTTCTTTGCAATGCTCATGTTTCGATGAGACTCGTTAAATCTCCCTCGAGTAATTTAAAAATCATATATTTAATAAACATTTTTTGTGTGATCAGTCTAATATGATTCCACAACTGTCCTATTATTAAAATGAAATGTTATAATCAAATTGCATTTATAAAATGAGACGCTTACTGAAATTTTTCCTGAGTTCGTAAAGAGACACACAAAAAAAGAAGCACGCACACACAATCAATAACTCACACTGCGACACACACAACTGCAAACAAGAAGGTCGGCGAAAAACCACTTGTGTAAATATGTTGATATTTACCAATAACTGTTTAAAAAGTGAAATAGATTATCATTGGCAGTCTAGAAGGTGAATCGTTTATTAACGTTAAATGTAACCTTGTTAATTTTTTACACCCATTTTTAGAGAATACCGATATTCTTACCGAGTTCTGAAATTTTGTTGGACATTTTAGCCACACGGATCTGAACAGCATCTTTCTGTAAATGAATTAAAGAGTTAAAAAATAATTATTATACTTTTTTTTTTTACAACTCTAAATTTTTATTATAGGTATAAAAGGCAAAAAAAAAATGAAAGAATGTGATAATATTTTTAAAATCTTCGGAACATAACACAATGCCTCTTATACTAATAATAAAAATAATAATACCTCTGAAAGTTGTTTGTTGCCAGAGTTGACTTTCTTGTTTAAGGTCTCATTTAATTTTTCCAAAGGAGTCAGTCTCTTAGCTAGCACTTGACAAACCATGCCAACCTGTGTAGCAAGCAAATGCAATCATAAAGACATCTTAATAAATCAAGTTTAAGTTATTAAAGGACATTATGTATGCCGTTTTTTGTAAAAGAAAACATATATTATAAAAAAAAAAATTCAAATTTACTGTATGCTCCATAATCCCTTTAGAAAACAAAAATTTAAAAAAAAATATTATCTGGATTAAGTACAGGTCATCTTTGGATACTAAGCAGGTAAAGGAATAATTTCCAAATTAATTAATTGCAAATCTCATTAGAATTTTTAATTGAATTGAGAATTAAGTTTCCTAACATAATATTAATAACAAAGCATGTAATGATGTTAGAAATTACACATTATCACACATACAAGTGAAATAAATATTAAATACCTTACCAAAACGTCTGTTTTATCCTTATTTAGAATGCCCATATTTTCAAACTGCTCTGTGCACTGAGTTGACATGACATTAATGGAGATTTCCAGTTGTTCCATTTTATCAGACATTTCATTATAATGTTGATTTGTTCTTCCTAAGCTCATTGACAAAATTTGCATAGACATAAGGGCGTCATGGCTACAAGTTCTAACAGAGGAGATCTGTTCATTGAGTTCATTCATTGAGACATTGATAGATTTATTTTCATTTTCGAATCTGTTTAACTTGACATCAACATTTGTTACAGTTACAAACAGATCCTCAACATTTGATTTAATGTCTTGGTATCTTTTCTCAAGTTCCGTAATTTCATCCTTAAGCTTTTTCTCAGAATTCAATTTTGAATTTGTTAAAATTTCCTCTTTTTCTTTATCATTTACTTGTTGAGTCGAGACATCTTTTAATATCTTATCAACAGTGTCTAATTTTTCTTTAACTTGTTCTGTTGTCTTTTTGAGTGAGTATACTGCTTCCTCTAGTATGGCAAGTCTTATAGTCATATCATGAGAATCATCAGGTCCTGCTGCTACATCTGTTAGTGAATAGATATTGTATACAAATTAACGAATATAGAATTATTGCAAACCAGAGACAATAATTGTTTTAGTTTCGTGGTCACCTTCATCAATAACTTTATTCTTATCGTCTTTGGGAAATATTTGACAATCAATTTAATTTTTTTTATCTATATAACTACCATTGGATTCGTAATTTTGTTATCCAGTTCTATCATTCTATCAAATGGAATTTGATGATTTCGTTAAGTTTTTACAAAAAATATTCAAAATTTATTACAAGACAATATGAAAACAGAAGATATATACCAAAAAACCTCAAACTTTCAAAGAAAAATGTGCCTACCTAAATTCCGTATAGTTTCATGGCTTCCAAGCAAGGGCTCCATCTTGGTTTCATCGGTTTTTGAACTCGCTCCAGGAATAGGCAAATTATTGGTAGCTGTCAAAACGTTGGGTTTAAATTGGTTTCATTTTCATCAATCGCATTGCCAGGAGATGTTCATTTAAGTAATACAATCCTTCACTGAGCTAAATATACTTTTATTTCGTATGAGGAAAACCAGTTTTGTGGGAATAAATCATGATTAAAAATTATGATTTTTTTTAACTATGTCATAAAGGAAACTTTCAGAAATCTTTTTAAAACTGGCTGTCCCTAAAAAAAAATTATTTTAGGCTATCTAACTTTCTAAAAATGTGTTGTAGCTTCTGTGATATTAGCTAATTTGTCTTGACATTGAATACGGAGATTTCTCTCAAATACGTTAATTTCAAAATGTTTATTTTACGCTTATATCTCAAGCTTAAATAACGTAGTTTTTGCGCGTAGTAAGTCAATATTGAATAGGTTTCAATCACACTGGGGGCACTGATGAACAGATTGAAAACAAAAATTGGGCAATATGAACAGTTTCTAATGTCAACTCGGGCAATATTAAGCAGCTTGCAACCAAACAACGGGAAATAGTGAAATTCTTGCAATCACATCTCGTAGTTCCTAAAGACATAACGATGGACTAATGAGAAAAAATATCAACGAGTGCGTTTAAACAACTGCATATATTTCTATATATGACAACATATTAAATGCTTATATAATACTGGGACACAAAAGAACATGATTGCTATGATACAGCGACTGTTCCAGCACACAATGGTTCTCAAAGATCAAGATTTCAACCGTCATTTAAAAAAAAAAAAAGTTGTCTTCTTTGCTTGCATGACCCGAACAGCAAATTATAATAATAAAATGCAATATAAAATGAACAGCAAACATTTGGGCATGTTATGGTTGTATACAAAAGTTAGGCCTACCTGATAGTTCTTCAGCTTTTTCAATAAAAAGACTTAGAATTTCCTGTATTCTGTTGTTCATCTCAGTATAAGTTCTCTGATTGATAATTCCACCATTAATCCAAGTATTTACTTCATTTTCCACCTACCCATAAGATACACACAAAAAAATCATTCAGTGATCTTATTTAAAGGGCTTTATATAAACGTAACTATAAAAAAAACCTAAACAAGTCTCTATTTTAAAATATAAAACGCATATTTTAAGCTATTATTTTTTAAATATTTCTTTTCCCTTTAAATGTGATAATATGTTTTAAACATTTAATTTAATATCAATTTATGACAGATAAGAACCTGATTTATTCGCTGGTCGACAGCGTATGTCACAGTTTTCCTCTCTTCCTTGAGTATCTCAAGTTGTTGGTTGATAATTTTTACAAATCGCTCAGTTTGTAGTAATGTACTTGCCATTTTGGAAATCTACAATTTCAAATTTAAAACATAATTTTATAAATATGTCTTACCATATGTAACAAAGTTTCCATAAAATTAATGTTTCATAGATGCACTTATAATAACCTATTTAAGTTAAGTTAAGTACATTGTATGCATCCATTTATATGAAAATTACTGTTTATAACAATGTATAATGTATAAGAATCCATTATCTTGAGCTCTTACTTATTAACATATTTAAACCAAGACAATATTTTAAATTTACAACAATTTTTTTTTTAAACAAGACTATTTTGGTATTTATCGAGCGCACTGATTTTTCCATAGCCTTAAAAAGTTAACATTAATATTTTTAACTTCTTACAATGAAACACATAATCAACTCAGACAAGATATTTAGAACACAAACAATGAACAATACATACAAAAAACACATAGTGTGACATAGCTATGCATTTATTTATTTTATATAAATGCTAACCTTTGGACTTTGGTGTTTTTTGATTTTGATTAATGTTTACGAAAAGACTACTGTCCTTGAGCCTCCTTACTAAACTAACCACTGGATTATGTATGTCATTGGTAAATAAGTATCAAAAATAAGGATCTATACATACATGGATGGATTAAAGTCAAGTTAAACTGATTGTCATAAAAACGATGGATGAAGGAAGTGTGAAATAAACATGAAAAAGAACGATTAATTAAAAAAAAATACCTTAGTGACGTAAACATGTATCGTTAAATATTGGAAATTTTAAACTAATTATAAATTATTTTTTAATTTTGATTTTCTTTAATTACATTTTTTTTTAAATATTAAAAGGAAACCTTAATGAAAACGTTTTGACAAATAACACCAGTCAGGTAACCAACGTAAACAATCTTTACAAATATAATCGGGAAATCCATAACACAGTGGAAAATTCCCAGTACTGAATGGGTTTATTTTTCACTATTGTCTGAACTCTCAGTTTTACTTTTGCCTTATTTTTTCCTATATTAGCAATAGTGTAAAACATAATTATCGAAGGAAATTTTTAAACGAAAACCAATCGACAAACTTTATTTATTTTGTATGAAAGCAAAAATTAAAGACAGAAAAATTAACACGTTCAGAAAAATAGCTATCTCTCCCCCTCCTTCTCTCTCTCTCTCTCTCGCTCTCTCACTCTTTCTCTCACTCTCTTTTTCACTGTATCTGTCTCTTACACACTCTCTCTCAATGTATCTCTCAATTTACAGCCAAGATTAAATCACTCATAAAAACTCCATAATGATGTAGTCTCATGTAGTTATTTCTTTTATTGTCCATCTTCCTCGAATACTAATGTCCTCACAACTTGAAAATCACAATTTATATACGTTAGACTTATTGGGTGGAATCCTGCTATTCAGTCATCCTTACAAAAAAGCTCTGCTAAAAGCACCAAAGGTAGTAGTTTTATTTGGCAATCTAAAGTTATGAAGTCACACTCACACATACACAATCAAGAAGCCTAACAATTTTACTCCAATTAGTCTAAAACATAAACATTGACAGCTATATTATAGTGGACGAAGCTATCGCCACTCATAGTTCATCATCATCATTATGTCCCTTAGTCCTTGGACAGTTGGGGCGCCACAGATGATATGTGAACTATGCTCCTCCGTTCCTCTCTGTTTTCTTCACTTCGCACAGCATCGCCTAGTTTCAGTCCCGTCCACGCTTTGATGTCACCCTCCCACCTTTTTCTCTGTCTTCCTCTTCTTCTCCCTCCTCTCGTTGTGCCCTACATGATTTCTTTTGCGAGCCCTCGTTTTCTTATCACGTGGCCATACCATTCCAGTTTGCGCTTTTTACAGTCACAAGGAGGTCATCATATTGATGACGATTAAATCGCCGGCATCTCCACAAAATTAAAGATTAGAAATAGTAAGCAGCTTCAAGTACCTAGGAGCAATAGTCTCGGAAGAAGGCTCCAAGCCCGAATTAATGTCCAGGATTGCCCCGACCACAACAGCACTAAAGATGCTTAAGAACATATGAAATCACAAAAATATATCCCCCAGCACCAAAATCAGGCTGATGCGCTCATTTGTCCTCTCCATTTTCTTGTATAAACAAGAAACAGAGGAACTTGAAAGAAAAAATAAAGTCGATGGAGATGAGATGTTTCAGAGGCATTCTTGGAGTCTACTATAGAGACTTTATCTTTAACGAACAAGTGAAAGAAAGTATTCGTCAAGCAATTGGGCAGTACGATGACCCCCCACCCCCACCCCCCCACCCCCCCACTCATAGTTAGAAATGTTCTAATATATTTATTGTTGTTATTTGTTCGTCTTCTTAAAACTCAAACAAGACATTTTCGGTATGACAAAATTTGGACGACCAAATGAATTAACATACAATGTGGGTAATTGATCGGAATTAATTTGTCCCTAAATAAAAAGGTTTGCATAATTGATTCTTCTTACTAGATTTTATCAAGTATAAATAATATTCTTGTTTTTAAAGACGGCTTGATCAAAATGTGCGTGATTGTTGTAGGTAACGCTTAACAAACGGTTTCAAAACTCAATGTAGCAATAGTATAGTTGAATAGAAAAAACAAGACAATTAACGGGGCTCTCTAATTAAAAATTAAATATTTTCCTTTGATCCTATTTTAATAAAATATAAGAATATTATTAACTTTAAAGCATATGGCTCAGTTTGAATATAATGTATTTAAAAGTATATGAATATCCCAAAACATCATTGTCTCCCTTTTAATTTTTAATCAATACATTAACCCATATCATTTTATTCCACCTGATATTTAAGACTAATTTAGAGTGCACCATCCGATCATTAAATCTATAACAAAATAAATCGATACTTCTCTGTGAGCAATTTTTGTCTTTTAACTTTTTTTGTTTCCCTAAAGTGGTTGTGAATTTTTTAACAAATCGCCCACAATTTTTCAAGAGACATAGCCACATAACGTTAACACTTTAACGAGAGTAATAAGTACTGGAGCGTAAAAAAGTTGAGTTCTCACCCCTGTCCTTTACACCACCTTTAGCAATGATATCCAGAGCCCAAGCAACCAGTTTCCAATCATTAAATTTGCTAGTGACAACATCAGCGATGGCTTAATGTCTAAATGAGGGAGCTTATACTTCAACTTAGTTGCAAGCTTTTACCAGTTGGTGCGATGAAAATTTTCTTCAGTTAAATGGACCCCTAAAAAAAAAAAGATAAACATTGTTGTAGATTTCCGAAACACTTAAATGCAGATCGTACAATATTTTATCTCATATTAGAGCATGTAGAGAATTATGTATAAAAAATCCAACCAAAGACTTCCCTATTTTAAAAACAAATGAGTGCTATTGCAGTTTAACATACAGGTTAACTTATTCTTCACTGTAACAATATGAAACCTACAAAGAATTTTTTTTTTTAAAGTTAGGACCGAATGATATAAAAAGTCCTCTGTTCCATTGTATACATGAATTTACATGCATGCTCACCCAGTGGTTACGGAATCTAAATCAGTGTTTCTTTCAGAAATTTTCCACCGTGGGGGCACTTCAGACTTTCGGGGGGCCTTTTCCAGTGGCCAAAGGCGTAGCTAAGGGGTGGCAGTTGGGATATACGTCCCGGGACGCCAGACTTGCGGGGGGTGGGAGGTGGGGGGGGGTTACGAAAATGGGCTTTGATGGAACTAATTATTGGTTGAAAATAATGTGCTTCAGAGTAGGAGGCATGTAAAAATATGAATCTTAAACCTGACGCCAAACACTGTAGATACACCATTGCTAGTGGCGTCGAATAGGGCATTTTTGGACAACTGAAGATGTTTGAATCGTGAAAGGGACAACGGCAAAAATATTTGGCCACTCATGGCAGCACTCATAGTAGCTACGCCACTAGGCAGTGTATCTATCGATACCAAAATCGGCGATCATTTTCATCGAGAAGTAGAGTGGAAGTCGATGTGGCAGATGAATCTTGATCGGTGGAGGGGTTTGGGGAGCCTGCTCCCTAGAAAAGTTTTGATTATTTCAAAATCAAGAGGTGTATTTTTGAGTATACTTTAATTCGATGTTTCTATTACTCCTTTTTAACAGGGAAGAACATTTGCAAATTGTTATGGGAGGAGTTATTCAGCCCAGTGCCATATATAAAGTGAATTCACTCCGTTTGTGGCCTGCCCCAGGCTAATTATTAAGCACAAGCTTTAATCAACCCCAAAACTGTATTATTGATCAGCGTGGTGAAAGGGGTGGATAAGTAAGGGTGCTAAAGACAGTCGTACAAACTCAAAATGAAGTGGTGCATAATTTTGGTGCATACTTGAATTGAATTTGTTTTCTCTTTCAGACAATTTGAGGTGGCAGTTCAAACTTTCGGGTGGAAATGGCGGAATAGCCAAAATAATGACCAAATACATCTTAAATCTCACACCAGTGGTACGTTAAATATATTCACTCTAGTTATGTCACCATTGAGGGTATGCTTTGGCCCTAGATTATTCTCGCTCCTTAATACATTATAGTCCCCAGAAAATTTTTGATAAATTCAAAATACAAAAATGAATTTTTTCACATATCTGATTTTAATTTTGCAACATTTTACACTTAGTTGGAGAGAACGGAAGAGATCCTAGTTAAAAAATAGATGTTACTTCACCTTAGAGCCATCATTTAGACCCCAAAATATATATTTTAAATTGACGAATTAGGAATATGAATTTTTTTAAAACACCTAACAAAAATGGAATTGGCATGATATTCGAAATGCTAGTTCACAAAAAAAAAAAAAATCTTAGCTTTCTACTGGATTCTCATCAAAAATAAAATAATTATATAAAAATAAGAGCAATGCCAATAGATGAGGCACTTTGTTTTTTGACATTAAAAAGAGAAAAGCAGTTTGGAAGTTAATAATAATAAATATAGGCTCAGTTTTAAAAAAAAAAGCAAAAAAAAAAAAAATCTGCTATTCAGGAAACTTTGTAACAAAGGTAGCACTATTAAAGAAAACTGAACATTTTTTATTTATTAATAATTTATGAAAAGTACACCATTTCTTTGCGCCCTTAAAATTCTAAATTAGAAAAAAAAAGCATGATGCCTACACTTTTTGACATGATTTTACGATGAACTATAAATTGAAAACAGATGGCAGATGTTTAATATTTGACTAACTATAATTAAAATTGTAGACCTTTATAGGTATGTAAATATATTTTAATACAATATCATTATAGGCCTTAAAATTGTGAAGTTGCAAATAATAAATAAATTAAAAAAGCGGTATATACGAACAATAGGAAGTAAGACTGGAGCGGTCAGTGCAATTTTTATAACCGAATACTATAACGTGATTGGCCTAAAATATATACGGATCATCAAAGATATCGAGCCTAGCGATATTTCATAGATTCCACTAATTGTAATCGGTTAAAAGCACCAGTTACTATGCAAATGTCATTTTTAACTTTAAAAAAATATTTCTTTTTATATTGTACACATTTTGCTCCCGCTTGGGGGTTGGGGGGGGGCAGTGCCCGGAGAGATAGCTGAAAGAAACACTGATTGCTAACAATAAGCATATTTTTGAAAGCTTGATGTCATCATTCAGTTTTTAATTAACACCATTCCCCAGTTTAAAAGTCATGCTTTTTATTATAAAATATAATTTGAGAACATGAAAAGATTGCTCACCTTTGATACTTAGTGAGAACTCTATGAAAATACGAGACCTTAAAATTGACCCAAAAGTTGTTTAGTACAGTGTTATTAAAGTCTTTAAACTTCTGAGTTTGCAAAAAAATGATTAAACAAAAAATGCAGATAAATGCAAACGCGAAGTAATACTTTGTCTCATAATGGACAAATGTTCGAAATATTGCGATATTTATAATCGAAAAATGTAAGGCTCTACGAGGATTAGCCTTAATCATCAAATATATCGATCGTAGCGATATTTTATACATTCCCCTTCTTGTAATCGGCTAATGACATCAGCTAATATTATTTATAATTTTTTTTTAAAATTAAAATTTAGTATTTTTGATAATATATTTTGTTTTAGTGTTTTACATATTTTTGCTGCGGGGGGGGGGGGGGGGGGTTGGGTTT